TAATTAAGAAAAAAAAATTCTAACAAAATAAAAATACCTTATTAATTAACATTTTACATAAATTTTTAGAACTTGTGTTTACATTCTCCTCCCTTTAAATAAAATTTGTCCTCAAATTTTGAAATTTTATCAAAATAATCCTAAGTACAAATCTTTCATAGCACTCTCAGTCTACCAAGTTACTTCTTAAAGAGAATAATATTGCCATTTTATTGTGATCATAAGAATCCTACTAGATCGCAGTATTATTTCCTGTTTGTCGATAATATGAATTGAGTATTCCTCATCCAACAAGTTAGTTTGTAGTGCTTAAGACTCATAGGAGTGACATAAGCTAGATCACGATGATATTTATGAAGCATGAACATATGAAAGATGTCATGAATACCGAAAAGCTGAAGAGGAAGGGTTAAGCAATAAACAACAGAGCCAACCCATTCCAAGATCTAAAAAGGTCCAATGAACTTAGGACTCAGCTTCCACGTCTCCCATACCTCATGATTTCCCTGACCAGAGAAACTCTGAGAAATACGTGATCTCCCACTGCAAACTCTAAATCTTTTCTCCTATTGTCAGCGTAGCTCTTTTACCGACTCTAGGTAGAAAGAATATTTCGTCTGATGATTGAAATCTTGCTAATAGTTTCCTAAACTAGGTCGGGTCCTAACAAATGTCTCTTCCCAACTTCGTTTCAACAGGAAGGAGAATGACAGGGTCTACCATACAACACCTCATAGGGTGTCATCTCTATGTTGGAGCAATAACTGTTGTTATATACAAACTCTACCAAAGGCAATTACCTATCTCAACTACCTCCAAAATCCAAAATATATGCCCTCAACATGTCATCTAGCGTTTGTATTGTTCTTTTAGATTGTCCATCAATCTGAAAGTGAAGACAGTATCAAAAGAAAGATGAGAACTAAGAGCATCCTGAAAACTAAACCAAAATCTGAAGGTAAACCGAGAGTCTCGGTTAGAAACAATAAATACTAAAATGCTGTGAAAATGGATGATCTCCCGAATATACAACTCGCTAATTGACTAAGGGGGTCAGTGGTCTTCATAGCCAAGAAGTGTGCAGACTTAGTCAACCTGTCGATTACAACCCATATAACATTATGTCCAGAACTGGTCCTGGGTAATCCAACAATAAAGTCCATGGTTACGTGTTCCCATTTCCAATTAGGAATAAGAAGAGGCTGAAACAAACCACTAGGTCGTTGATGCTCAGTTTTGACTTGTTGACAGGTAAGACACTTGGAGATAAAGTACATGATATATCACTTCATACCTTGCCACCAAAAATAGAATTTTAAATCATGATACATCTTGGTGCTATTAGGATGAACAAATAATCTAGAGGAATGAGCCTCCCTCAAGATATCATGTCTTAATTCTGAGTTCTCTGGTATCCATAACTGATTTTCGAATCGAACAACATCATCATCAGAACCCTAAAGTCAATTTTAGCCCCGAGAGAGATATTTTCTTTTTGTTTCAGGACCTGGGGATATTTGGATTAAGAATCTCTAATTCTCTCTACAAAGTAAGGCTGACACTACATGTGGGCAATATAGGCACCATCATTAGTGGTGTCCAAGGACGGATCCTCAACAGTTGTGAGTAAATGTAACTCAGAGACCATCAACTGAGCAAGAAAACTAGAACTCTTCCTCCTAAGGACGTCAGCTACGACATTTCCCTTTATAGGATGATATGAAATGGTATAATCATAATTCTTTAGTAGGTCTAGCCAATGTTTCTATCTCATATTTAATTCTTTTTGAGTGAAGAGATATTCTGAGCTCTTGTGATAAGTGAATATCTCAAAGGTTTCGCCGTAAAGATAATATCGCTAAATCTTTAAGTGAAAATAATACCCGCAAGCTCAAAGTCATACGTAAGGTAGTTGAGCTCACGTATTTTCAATTGACTAGAGTCATAAGCAACTACTCTACTGTGCTATATAAGTACACAATCTAAACCTAGACATAATGAGTCATAGTAAACTATGAAATTACCAGAGCAATCAGGAATGGTCAACAAAGAAGCCGTGGTCAATTGGCGCTTCAACTCCAAGAAGCTCTCTTCACAATTAGAGTTTCAATCAAATTTAGATTCTTTCCGGGTCAGTCGAGTTAGTGGAGTAGCTAGTTTAGAGAAATGCTCCAAAAAACATCAATAATAACCAGCAAGACCCAAAAAAATCCGAACCTGTGACATAGTAGTTGGCCGTTTCCAACCAAGAATTGCCTCTATCTTGAAGGGATCAACAGAAATATCCTTACTAGAGATAATATGTCCTAGAAAAGCAACATTGTCCAGCCATGACTCACACTTGCTAAATTTAGTACATAGTTTGTTCTGCTATAGTGTTTCCAAGACATGTGCCAGATGGACTAAATGATCTGCCAGATTTTGAGAGTAGACATGTCATCAGTGAAGAATCTAACATACTAATTAAAATTGGACTGAACACCCAGTTCATGAGTCCATAAAGACTTTTAGAACATTAGTCAATCTAAATTACATAACCAAGAATTCATAATGTCCATAACGGGATCAAAAAGTCGTCTTAAGAATATCCTCAGTTTTAACCTATACTTGATGATAACCGGATCGTAGGTCAATTTTGGAAAAGACTTACGCATCATGCAATTGATCGAGCAAGTCATTAATATGAGGTAATGGATATTTGTTTTTGACCGTCACCCGATTCAGATCACAATAGTGGATGTACAATCTCATAGATCCATTTTTTTTTACAAATAGAATCGAAGCATCCCAAGGTGAAGTACTCGATTGAATAAACCCCTTAAACTGAAGTTCTTGCAACTGACTAGCCAATTCTAGCAACTCAGCTCGACCCATTCGGTATGGAGTCTTTGAAATAGGCAGTGTACCAGGTAATAGATCGATAGAGAATTCAACTTCTCTTTCTGGAGGCATGCCCAACAATTCATCAGGATATCCGAAAAATCTCTCACAATTAGGATATTGCGAATGTCTGGTTCAAAATTCATTTAGCCTAATTCCAAAAGAAATCTCTAATTAGTAATTTGAATTTCATTTGGGAAAACCTTTAATTATTAATTTATAACATAAAATATACATAACAAAATATCTTTATTATTTATTAATTATATCGATTTATTTACAATGAGTAAGGTGCACTATTAAGAGGATAAAACGATAATATTTGATGAAAACAATCAAGGGTAGCTTGATAGGTAGCTAACCAATCCATACCGAAGATTACGTCAAATCCTTAAAAATCTAAGAGTAGAAGGTCAACTGACAATTCCCTACCTGCCACCTTAACTCTACAAGATTTATACATAAGACTATATACAAGTAAATCCCTAACTGATATTTCTATCACTATAATTTTATCTAAAGGTACAAAAGTAATATATAAATATTTAGCAAATTTAATAGATATAAAGGAATGAGTAGCACCATGATCAATAAGAGCACACACAAAAGAGTCAGAGATAGAAAGTGTACTCTCAATGACGACTGATGCAGCCTTTGCATATGGCTCAACCATATGGAAAACAAGACTCCTTGACACTGGCTTGCGAACTGATTGGGGACAATTTTTTATATAATGACTAGTCTGACCACAATTATAACAAGCATTAGTGGCCTTATAACAGGGACGATCATCGTGCATATTACTGCACTACTTACAAATAGGACTAGTAGCTGCTGGAGTTGGAGCACTAATAGGGGTAACTTTGGGTCGCTTGTCAACTGGACCCTAATATGGTTGTTTCCTCTTCAGCTGATCAGGAAGCAAGAACCACTAACTTGTTTGAATCGAGCAGCAAGTAACTCTACTAATTGATCATTGTCAAGAACCTCAGCATAAGTGGTTGGCCTAAAAATGGCCACACGTTCATAGATGTCTACTCTTAGACCTTTTAGAAATAGTCGACCCTCTTGGTCCTTAGTGGAGACCAACTCTAG